ACACAGGGAACTGCTGAAGGTGAAGAGGGACGAAAGCCTAGACTGGAGTAGGGTGTGCAGCTAAAGAAGGCAGTTTGCCTCTGCTTTGCTGTATTTTTGAAACTGAAGTCGAGATGAGTTTCCCCCACTAATGAACAGACTCAAGCTATCAGTCCACAGCCGTTACTACAGGATCAGCTGGCAGTATAGATCTGACCTGGTTTGGGCATGGGCACATGATCACATTACTGGTAAATTAGCAAGAGTTTGTATTGCTGCAAGAGAACAGACGATATATAATCTAGCCCGAAGTCAGAGCGGCGCAGACGGGTGATACCTGATCTGATAGAAAGCCTGCGATATAAAGTTAATCCATTTGTTCTGAAAACATTCAAATCAGTATGAGAATTTACCCCAGATAACACTTTGTGTTACATGGCTACAGTGGTTTTGATACAGTTTTATGACTGAGATCCACTATGCCATCAAACCACAGCTTCAGAAATTGATTTTGCATGGACACAACCAATTCTATCAACCTACAGGGTAAATCTGGGGGTGCAAATAGCTCCAGGGGAGACGAAGTCCCCCCATCTGAGAAGCAGACTGTCTTTTTAAAGACGAGCCATGGAAGAATAAAGGGGTTCACTCCCAAATTGGTATCTGTTACTTTCCATGTGCCAAAAGGACTTAGAATGCCAAATTTTCTTCCTATCTTCAAAACACAGTGGTTTTATCGTTAATATAGGATTTTTCTAGATAATGGACCCTGTAGTTTAGAATCTGCAAGATTAGATTATTCTCAGGAGACAAGTCCATCTCCAAGAAAACATCTCTGCCTGTGGCAACAAATTCTCAGATTAATGAAAACTGTTTTAAGATTTCAGCTGAATTAAGAAGGTGCACAGTTCATACAGGTCACCTCTACATGGGAGGGAACATCAATATGTTTTCTGTACCTACAATTCATTAATAGCAAAACTTGGTTCATATCCTCTTTGCTATAGCATCCTTCCTTTCCTGCCTAGCCCCCTTCCTGACTCTAATGCCTTACACCTCCATCCATCAGAAGGACACCACATGAAATTTTGTCCATAATTACACTGGCAAGTCTCCTTTGGGTTTCGTGGAAGTTACATACTCATAAATGGGAGCAGAATTTGGCCCTCTGTCTTTTCAAAAGGAAGACTAACGATCAAATAATTTTCTCACATCTCTGTTTGCACTTTCACAGTCTGGTTACATTGATTTGTGTCTCATAAGTAGACATTTCCTTTGTTGGTTACAAATCAATGTTATAGACCTAGCCTGCCTGCACATTTTCCCCTTCCCTCTCACTGTGAGAAAAACAAAGTGCAGCTTCAATTCTTCTTGCTTTATAAATGTGAATTTCCTTGATGAAGCATGAGAGAAGCACAGATAAAATTCCAGCTCTCCCTCAAAAAACAGGAAACGTCTGTGCTTAAATTTCTAATTACCAAGGTGCTTTATGGTATGATAAACACCTTTAACATTCCAGTCCTGCCACTGTTTTGTTAACCTAGTTATAATCCTCTTCTTCAGATATCACAAGGTTTCCCAGAGCAATCCAATGTAATATCACAGACAGCTATGACTTCATGGCATGAGTAAGGAAAAAGAGGCAAAGGTTTTAGTCTTCAGCAGGACTGAGCTGCCACAAAAATCTCCAGGAAAGGATGGAAAAGAAAAGGGTTTGCAATTGGTGCCTGAGAGGCAATGAGCTTTTTGACTGCAGTATGAAAATACAACAGTGAGGATAGATGGGTATTTTACTACAAATGGATACGCATGATAATAGAAAAGAAATAGTAAGAAATAGAGCCATCAATAAGAATATACCAAGTAAAAGAAAGTACAGGTGTAAATGTGGAACATATCAGTTTGATTTTCCTTTATTAAAAGAGAAAAAAAAAGTTTTTAAAAAAGAGTAGAAGCAGCCTCAAATCAATCTCATCAATTTTAATACTATGAAGAAGTTTAATAAGTGACAGTTCCACCAGTTTGATGGAGGACTCATGACTGCCGAAATAAAAATAGAAATTTTTTAGAGCTGGCATCAATAAAAATAATAATAATGATAAGGTTTAAAGGATGTGAGATCAAAAAGGAAAAGAAAAATTTTACAAATATGAAACAAGGCTTGCTACACTGCCGTCACCACCATCAAAGAACATCCTCAGAAGTCAAAAGGGAATTCTATTTATTTTAAAGAGCAGCACTAGTAATCAGGAAATCTGGGTCCTACTTACACCTCTTCTGGGGAATCTGTGCTTGGCCTTGAGAAAGATATTTCAGTGCTCTGTGCTTCAGCTTCTCTGTAAGGCCAATCAAGATAATAATAGCTCTACTTCGCAGGCATCTTCTAAAGCTTAACTCATGGGTGCTGAGCAAAGACCTTTAAGGTATTTATGTAGAAACTATACATGGAAGGAAAGACAAAAAAGAACATAAAGATTTGGGAAACACTTGAAATTCCACAGCTCAACCACTTCCTGGAAATCAAAAGAAAAGAACAAATAACTTCCTTTTTTAAATTTTATTTCCAAAGGAAGTGTAAAGCTTCCCAGCTAATTGGCAAAGAAGTTGCCCCTGCAAACATCATCATACAAGAGGTAACAGGGAGCCCTGGCTGGCTGCATCCTTAAGACATTGTGTACACATGCCTGTGTTATCCCAGTGAGGTAACACCATTCTGCTGGTCTGATAAAAACAGAGATGAGGAGAAGTTACGACTACTTGGAGAGTTGTCTATTTGCACAGACTCTTGACAGCAGCAGTTCAGGCGAGAAACCATATTGCTCTAAGACTCTGGGGACCAACCATTCTGTCTCTCTGGTCCACCAATCCACAACCTTAGGCAACTACCTTTTTTGCTTGTGTTTAAAGTAGGCCTGGCTTTCTAAAAATTTTGAGTTTTCTAATAGTAGATGTGGTAGAATAGGCCTTGACAGAGTAAACCCATAAACTAAATCAGAAGGAAAGAAAAAGAGATAAAAAATAAGAATGCTAAAATGAAGAGAATTATAAAAACAAAACAAAATTATTCTGATTTAATACAACTTTGATACAACTTTTCCAAACCATTTTACTTAGACATAAATGACAAACAGAAGACATAAAATACCATGAGTCAGATCTGCAGAATCAAATAGGTTCATTGATGTTTGTCACAATTCTTGTCTCTAGTAAGAGTTAAGAAAGAACTCAAGAGCTAGAACTGCCCAAACTCTGGTTAGTTTACTGATTAAGAATATATCTACCAAAACCCCAAGCAGTGATGTGTTACCAACCCAAAAGGACTACCACAACTATGTTCATCTACAGGACACAGAGAACTCAAAATGCATTCCAATGCAAATATACTTATAGCTGCTTATTTACAGCATAGGTGCCTTCCACTGTATTCTGCATATTTTTCTTATCTTGCACTATCAAAGTTAGCAGACAGTGGAAAGGTATGTATCTTTTCCTTATCTTATCCTGAACAGGCTTTGCTAACAAGGACATAAATTCTGCCTTTTCAATACTAAGCTACAATTAGGACGGAGGTCATGACATCGCAGTTAGCACAAAGGTCACAAGTAGTGTTGCTACTCAAGGGGTTCCACACTACAGCTAAGCAGGAACCCAAAGCACTCTGGGCATACGGAAGTGAAAAAGCTTTTTTATGTCTGAATATATGCATGTCAAGAGTAAACATTTAATGAACAATGATAACAACCCCCCCCATCATGTTCATAAGCATAACAAGGATCAAAATATTTAACTGTCAGATGGACAAGGTAGGTTTACCTGGTGGAGAGCACTGTAGGTAAATGAAATCTTGTCTTTTACATTTCATGCATTTTAAGAAGCTCCTCAGACTATTTGTTTACTTTAACCAGATGTCAGTTCTTTTGACAGTAAGTGCTAGAACAAAATTTGTCGTGGAATGCATACACCTCCAAAAATTCCAAAATATCTCAACAGGTTGTTTCTTTTTGGTTCTTTTTATATGGATAAACATCAAAAGGTGAAATATCTGGGCATAATTCACCCAAAGACTGGGCAGAAGTACCCAGAACGAGCATTTTGCTGCAGGTGCATGTTACTTTACAATCTAGTCTCATGAAGACTCATTACAGGACAATATGATTCACTTACCCAAACTTTTACTAAAAAGCCTTGGATAGACTCAGGTAACTAAAGTTGAGTGCCTGTTTTTGCTGCACATTGGAGCAAGTAGCCTCAAAAACTCAGCCCACAGGACTGGCTCTGAGAGCAGGGGGAGTTGAACTGTTAACTGCAGTATCCAAAACACACGAACCATGAGAGGATTATACTGAGCTCTGTGACAACTACACTTGAGGAAAATGAGGGAGGAAAGGGGTTGAAGGAACATGAAAGGAAAATGAACAAATTCAGATCAATGGAACAGACCTGGAGGCTTCTAAAGAGGATCTTTTAAAGAGCCACAGACAATGGCCACAGTCTAGACTGAACACACAGAGAAAAGTCAAGACAAATCATCAACATTAAAAGCTAAGTAATCACATCACATAACAGCAAGATTACAGCAATAGTATCTCTGTCTCTGCTCTGAGGTGAAATCACCTGGAATGTGAGATTTGTTTCTGGGCACCTCCTCATCAGAGTGATTGGAGAGAGTTCAAAGAGCTGCCATATAAATGACCAGAGTGGTGGAAAGACTGAGCTATTAGGGAAAGAAATGAAGAACTACACCTGCAATAGCCCAGTTACAGTGCCAGTGACTATCAGATGAAGGGAAAGGCATGAAAACAAGCTTCATATAATTGAAAGGTGCAAATGCCAGAAACAAAAAAGAGAAAAAAAGAAACAAAAAAGGGAAAGAAGAGAGGGTAGCTAATAATAAAAAAGGTGTAGAGATAAAATCAAGACCAGTAACATAAAGCTGACATTCCAAAGAGCAAATAGCATAAGCCTGAAGAGTAATATGCTTAGGGAAGGAACTGAAGTTTGACGGTGTATTTAAAACTGACCTAGACAAAACACTAGACGTGATGCACACACCATCCTTCACTGGCCCTGGGAAGATGGACTGAGCAGGTCTTGATTGTTTTTCCAGTTTGATGACTCCAAGGTACACTCTGTTTTTGTGGCCTAAAAGCCATCTGTAAAAATATGGAAACCCATGAAACACACTTTGGCAGGTTAGATGATGATTAACCAGAAGGAGACTAAATTCATGTTCATTGGATAATCTTGTGAATTAGGCAGAGCTGTACATGAAGAAAGAAGTAAAACAGCAAGAAGCAAAACCTAGCCAGTTGAGGAAAGGACTTTTAGCATCAGACAGTACAACGAGGAATAGCCACACAGCAGAGTGGATAAATAATCCACTCTGCATAAAAATAGAATAGCATGTATGGATCAGGCAACAAGATGTGAGAATGGAATTGGGGAAATTACTTCAAAGGATATGTGGCCTCCTGAACCATGAGTTGACTAGGCTATGGAAAGTTTAAATGCTTGCATCACAAATCCAGAAACCTGATTGTGCAAAAAGGGAACTAGGCTCTCTAGAAAGCATCCTAAGAAAGTCAGCAACAGATAGACAGAGTGAGCCTTGAACCTTTCCATGCTATTGAATGGATATAAGAAAATAGAAGAAAAAATAATACTCCACTTACTGGAGTATTAAAACACTGCAAAAAGCTGCACACACAGACAAAAAGTATATTAAAGTCATGCAGGGGGTGGCAATGGAGGGAATGCAAGTGAGGTGAAACACTGCTGTCACTTCCCATCCATAAACCCCCAGCAGCAAGGAGTGCAGACAGGAAAACCACCAGCTAAACCTGAGACATAGAAATTATTACATTTCTGACTGATTTCAGCCTGCACTGGAAATAATCCTTAGTTATTATAACTGGAAAGTAAAGGACTTATGGGTGAAAAGCGAGGGGTAGGTAGAGACAGAAATAAACTTGTTTTTAATGACAGTTTAAAGTGGTGGTGTTATCAAAGAGAAAAATTAGGTTAATGATATCATCATTTGAGTTGTGTCTGTTTTTATGGTTTTTGGAAGCAAGGGGAAAAAAGACAACCTCCTTTGGACCAGAGACACTAACTGATTTAACTCTTCTATGCTTACTTCAGATTTGGTGCTGCCATGTAGCCCTGACAAGGCAGCACCTTCCCAACACTGCTAGCTTGGCCTGAGGTCTTACGAGTACAGCTCTGCTGACTGTCAGATCCTTCCACATTGTGAAGGAAAAACATCTCATGGAGTTTCATGATACAAAGATCATATTGGCTTCTGAGTTATTCTTCTGCTAATATTCCTCACTGGTCAAGTATGACACCCAGAAGACTTTCCCTTTGCTCTACCTTCAGGAGCACAACTTCTTCAAAGATGCATTTTGATGCTGAATTTGAAGTTGAGCTGGTTGTACCAGCAATGGTGCTTCCTGCACAAAATGGTAAACATAAATGCAGCACTGATTACTTTGCAAATCATGCCCTGAGGCTCGAGGTCCAATGAAACAGTGATTTTAGAGGCAATATCACATAAGGTATTCTCATTACTCCCCAGGCCATTGCAAAAAATTACTCCCCAATCCCTGCAAAAATTTATGATTTAAAGAAAGATTGGTTGTCTCTGCTCATAGCCCAACTCTACAAACAGCTGTGTTGGTATGAGTGGGGGAACTGTGCAATGTGTTGGCAAATCTGAGCAGCCAAAGAGGGAAATTTTTTCAACTGGTTTGGTCCCTGAAGCCCATGTGTCGACAAACCACAGCCTGTGCACCTTATTAGCTTTCTGCAGGTCCCTGCTAACTAATGGTATGTACCTGTCCATCTGCAGAGCCAAAAATAGCTACTTTTAAAGAACAGAAAGGAATTCCTGCTGAGCCTGACAGAAGACAAGCCCACCATGTGTCTGCCTGGTGCTGTGGAGTCCTGTGACAAAGGTGGCTTGAGGCAGTGCATTTATTTTCCAGCTGATGTGCACTGATAACCTGACCTCTACACTTACAAGATTCATGTAATATTTCACCGCTTACCTCAGCTTCTACTGGCTCCATATTCTAAACCCCCATGTACATCACAAAGGACCTTCCAAGCAGCTGACAGACAAAACACTTCTGACACCCATTCTGGGTAGGATAACACTTAAATATGAGAAGGAAATACAATGCTGCTCACTCCCCCAAAGTGCAAGCTAATTTTAAAGTTAATACTGTAAGTCCTTATTGATACAATGTTTTAATTACCTTCATCCCGTCCAAAACCAGCACTCCTAGCTCTATGTGTACTGCTGATATGACTGACAGCTGAGAGCTTTTCTAAATACCAGGCATAACATTGCAGTCACTAGCGACTCAAACTGCCTAAAATGGTGTGATTTTTATCACTTCGACAAAACTTATGACAACTCTCTTTAAGTGTAAAGGGATTTTTAAAATTTACTAAGATTTATAAAATAAGCCTACCTAAAAGTTTGATGTGTGTATGCAAATTATCTTCAACATCACAGTCTACAACTTCCTTCTGAGAGGAGGAGGAGGGGCAGACACTGATCTCTTCCCTGTGGTGACCAGCGGCAGGATCTGTGGGAATGGCCTGAAGTTATGTCAGGGGAAGTTTAGGTTGGGCATTAGAAAAAGATTCTTCACCCAGAGGGTGTTTGGGCACTGGAACAGGCTCCCCAGGGAAGTGGTCACAGCACCAAGCCTGACAGAATTCAAGAAGTGTTTGGAGAATACTCTCAGGCACATGGTGTGACTCTTGAGAAGGGTCCTGTGCAAGGCCAGGAGTTGGACTCAATGATCCTTGTGGGTCCCTTCGAACTTGGCATATTCTGTGATTCTGGTATATAGAAAACAGTCTGCCTTTGCCGTATACCAACATTAAAAAAGGTCTCTCCGCTCACAGAAACAAGCTTGGCCCTCCTTTCCTCAGTTTACACAGCCTTCCACTCAAGCCTGGGAAAACAGATAGGGCTTTCCCCCCCAAATATAACAATATTTGATTTTCTCTGAGGAAGGGTACACCAACGTAGCCAGTGAGATAAGGCATGCAAGACAATCAATGGCAGAGCTAATCAGGCTAATTCAGCTGTTAAGAAAGCAACCAAACCCCACAAAGCCCCTCAAAGGTCAAAAAGCATCTCCTAGATTATGCCTGAGAATGACCTGGAAGTCAGTGTCATCCAAAGAGTGTTAATATATTAAAATCAGTGGGAGAAAAAATTTTATGCAAGCAAGAACTTGCTCTGTATATGAGCTGAAGTTTTTAAACCATCCCCCACAGAGACAATCATAGTAGGATTCACAATGAGAAAGATCTTATTACAATTCCCCACCAGATACTAATGCAAACAACACCATGTGTCTATATTCAGAAAGCATCTACATTTCTGACAAGTCTAAGATTTCTGAGACCAGAGCAACAAAAGACAGTCAAATGCAAGTAAGTCTTAATTTACAAATACAGGTATCTTGACATCCAAAGGGTGCAAAGTTTTTCGTTTGTTTTTTTTTTTTTTCTGGCTCATAGAGTATTAGGTACTAGAATATCTGATCTCTATTTTATGTCTGATTCAGTTCCTGCTAAAATAAGAGATGCTAGTGGACCCAAGTGGGAGTCTAGGACATTTCAAAAAACTTTAGCCATTATTGGGCTTGGCTGGCTATGATACATAAAGATGATTTTTCAGGCAGAACCAATGAGCATGGCTCCACCCAATGCAAACTGTGGTCCTGCTAGAGCAGTCCCTTTAGTAGAGACCTGTACACCCTCCCCTGTGTACCTGACCGTCTGTATACTGCCAGTGTAGGTGCACCTACTGCTGGTGCAACAGATGTTAAAGCAGGAAAACCTGACTCCCAGGGCAGAGGATTAATGGGGCATTAACATCAAGGCCCCAGTTGTGACCATTTAAATGCTAACAGTCATAAGTAAGTTATCCAAAACACGAGCTTACAGTGTGTGCCACTAGAACTTTACTATAGGACATTTGGGGCCAAAACTTGCCCCAGGATATGCATGAAGTCATCCTGATGATGCTAAGGGAAACCCATGTGCTATATAATAAAAAGCAACTGGTTCTAAATAGGGCTATTTTAAATCAGAATGTAACAGGTTATCTTTTACTGAACAGTCCCTTTACTATTTACATTAGAAAAATTAATCATGTCACAGTTGCCTGGATTCATCAGCTGGGCTTTAGTTTATATTCTTCACTAACATTCCCAGAAAAATGGTTAAAGAAAAGCTTGGTTTTAAAGCCTAGCAGGTTGAATTAATGTTCTGTTAAATCTGGCAGAATTTGTCCATGGTTCTTTATTGACCCTTGTATTTCCCCTTTTGACACTGTTGTGATGCACCTTTTCCCATCCAAAGTTCACTTCATGGTCCAGAGATATTTTTTGACTGAGGAGAGTGTATTTTCACCTTCTCTTCACCTCCCAGAGCAGTATTTCAGGGCCCATCATGAGGTGTGCCATTAAAGCTAAAGCATGCTCATGGCTCCTCTCACATTGCAGCAAACAGATCTGTGAGATTTCAAATCTGCTGAGCAGCAGCAGGTAAACACAGCTTTTGTTTTAGCAGCTCAGTTACAGCTAAGTGAGCATCTGCCCTGGCTGTACACAATAAACCTTCTATTTCAGAAGAGTATAATTGTCATTGCATTTTGCTGTCCTTTGAAACTTGGAGCAGGACGCTTCAGCCTGAGGGTCCACTTCAGACCTTAAGGCACTAAAAAACCCACATCCTTGACTGCTTACTATCATATGCAATTACTGATATCTGTGTAAAATGGAAAGAAAATATCATACTACATAAAGCCTCAAATGATCACCCGGCTTGGGATTCATACACAAGAGGCAAAGCCACAGAAATTCAGTGTTGTTACGTGGCTGTGGCACGTGCTATGTGCAATATACTGAGTAAAACTCTGCTGTCACTTTAAAGATTTTCTTATTCCTGTTGACAGGTTAGGAGGCTCTAGAGAAGTGTCTTATCAGATGCTACTTTTCAGTTTTAATGAAACTTTCTGCAAAGTGGGAGCTGAGCTGCCTCCATATACCACTTCTCTTCTAGGAACTTCACTTGAAGTTATGGACCTGCTTCCTTATATGCAGCCCTTCATTTCCCCCCAGAA